TTTATATACTGGTTTTTGGCTAAAATATCTCGCCAAAACCACAACCACCTCTGGAGCGGAATAAAAACAACTGAACATATGCAAATTATATGTAATTAAAATGTAAAAAGTTAGAATAAATGAACCGCCACTGCCGAAAGTGGTTTATGCACCTCACACAAGCCACTTTCCATGCTAAATTTCGGTGCGACCGCAGTATATATTTATAAACATTTATCCGAATTTAACGCGCAGCCTGCTGTGCTCTACGCAGTTAAATATATATGTACGTGTATGTGTGCGGAATGATATCGTCATTTTGGCCAGGGGCTGCACATCCGCTTGCGGCGGACCACAAACGCTGCGGCTGCTTGGGCGATACGCCCACAACAGCATCCACTCCAGATCCTGACGCCACCCGTGGCTTAACCAACCGATTGCCTTTTGTTGCAGGTTCGCGTCAACAAGCAAGCTGAAATGTCAATGACCATCGACCGTCACATTTATCAAGCCATCAAAGCCCTGATTTTTACCGACATCTCGGTCTCTCTTTTGTTTATTTCGTAATTAAAAGTGAGGACCCTCCAGCCCAGCACTTGATCTGGCTTAAAATGTTAAAAGATTCGTGTGTAATAATAAATTAACTCATTTATCTAGGAAGGCTGTCCGTGTTGCCAAGCAAAAATTTATTTGAATATTTAATTATTATTATATTTAATCAATCATTTCTTATCTTAAAACTTTAGGCCTTGTAATTATAAAACATTATTAAAGATGCGTCACGAAATCAGAAGTTATTTAGAGTTGAAGATGCAATTATCACGTTTATATTGGTTTGGTTTTTGGTTTATACATTTTTAAAATTGATATATGAATCCAAATATTTGTAGATTTTCACAGAATTTAGGCAAAATATATGCTCTTATTTACATAGGTATTAGAACTAGAAATGTTTATGATTTGTTTCCATTTTAACTTTATATGTGAGCCATTAAGTATTTTTTTTTTTTCAACCCGAAAGTTTATCTATCCTCTAAGACTTTTATAGAAAATTTTCTATGTTAAATCAATTTAAAGAATAATTAATTTTTGCTAAAAATACCAAAGATTTAATGTATAAATAATATTCCTATGGAAATACCTTTATAGCTTGACATCAGATATTTGTTGTAAGCCTTTTTGGTACTTTGAAAAAGACAATCAGCGCATTAACAACAACCGAATGCAGTCCTCAATACATATACATAGAAACAAGTGCTGCAAGTTTTGTGTGCTTTGGGCACTATGGAAATTCAATTACTTTATTTTGCTGGTCTTCATCCGATTTTCGCCACCACCCCCCATATGTTTGTATGCCATGTGCCAGCCGCAAAACAAACTCGGCCAGCAGTCCTGCATCCCCGTATCCGTGCATCCCCGTATCCCAACCCAGGCACAGTTGCAACAGCACCTGTCAGTTGCTCTAAACACCAAACATTTTCAAGTTTCCTTTTTTTACACGCTCGCGAAATTACGTTGAAATTTTCACCCGGCGCTGAAAGAAACGGCAAAGGCAGAGTAGAGGGCGGCGGGCGGAGAGCGTGTTGGAAAAAAAGAGTGTTTGAGAACAGGAAAAATGGCGGTGTGCAGACAGGAAAAAGGAAACCCATCTCTGGCCCATTTCGAAACTTATGCCCATTGCACACATTTGCGGCTCTTCGCATGAGCGCGCAACTTTTTCTTTCTGAGAACTCCCCAAGAACTCCCAAATTTTTTGCTCTGTCCCTTTTCTGGCGGTCTGTCGGGTTTCTCCTTTGGTCCATTTCTATGGCGGTTCGCTTTTAGCTGGAAATCTTTTTTGGCGTATCCAGTGTTATCTGTGAGCTGCAACAGAGCTAGACTTGGAGATGAGCGCGTGAGATCAAGGGGTTCTTCACTTGATTATTAATATTTAATATATTAGTTTAAACTATCTAGAAATTTACTATAAGTAATACTGCAAATTGTATGAATTGTAGATAATATTAAAAAATAATCATTTTCGGATTAAAGATTAATAGGGATATTAATTTATATTAACAGAGATGACAGACAGACAAATAATATAAATTATTTTTATCCTTTGTCATCTGATCATTATTAGAGCAATTTCAGAACAATTTTATTTTATTTATATTAATTTAATTTTTAAATCAATTTATTTACCTATTCCTCCGTGTTGACACCTAATTCAAATACCATTTGGTGTAATTTCTAATTTCCATCCTATATGGAGAACTTTCTGCTAATAAAACTTAAACTAAACTCGTACATTGCCTGAGCAGAGTTGAGAATGCACTTGTGGGAGCTTGTCTTTCAATTACTCACTCAATGCCATCCCTAATTGGGGACTAGTTTCGGGGCCAGAGAGGAGGACCTCGTACTCCCAGTATGTTGCGGGCTGTTTGGCAAGAAAGACAAATGCGTTTGTGAGCATAGGCAAGAAATGCGGTTTCTGGGGAAGGAGGATGCCCGCTGACTGGCTTCTGTCGGTGTTTTTAGCTTTTAGTTAAATAGAACTCTATTCGGTATCTGGGCCTGTGTGTGCATTTGTGCTGCATTTTGCTACAGTTTTCGGCACTTGGACTGATTGGCAAAATGTCAGCCCTAAAACAAGTGGGTAAGAAAAGTGTGATATTCGAAAATCGTTTCGTTTTGGTGAAAATCGGTTTGCCTCATTTCATTAGGTGCGTCATGATTTCGAAACTTTCATTCGAGATATGCATGTTTTTCTAAAGGATTGACTTACGAAAGATGTCCATTTATTTTATACTTTTTATAGCCTTGCAGCCAAAATTCTGGAACCTAAAAGCAATGGTTAAAAACAAACTTGAATTTCTTATAGAGTTGAAAGTCAGAGATTTAAAGTCCAGAATTAATGTAAATAAGCGAAATACCAACTTCAATCTTTGTTACAAAAAGCACTGCATACTTGTTGGCGGAAAAGAAAAAGAAACGAATTAGGCCCTATCTCGTCAGAAGATGCATTTCACTTATCTTTGACAAAAAGAACGAAAATAAAAAGTAAAGCAAGTTCTATCCGCATTTTAAACAGCTACAAAACTTAATTATGTAGCATTTACAGTATGAAATAAACCTCCTGTTGCCTTTCGGGATAATTACGGAACACGAAACAACAACACAAAGGCGGCAAAGAAACAAAAATGTCGCCCAACAACAACAAATAACTGCAACTACTTAGCAACATTATACACTTCCGTGCCAGCATCAGGATCTGAAAAACCAACCCAAAACGTAATTATTGTTGCGGTAAATGCCAAACCCCCACTTCTGCTCAACCACAGACCAGGCTTTTTTCATTTCTTTATAAAAAAAAAAAGTAAAAAAGAAATATTTCAACTGATAGAATGTTGAATACCCAGCAATATAATTTCATCTTATTTGAATGTGTTTGTCTTTATATTATTTAAATTATACCTTCTTAAAAACAATTCTATAAATTATATTTTATATTACTTTCGTTATTTTATTAATTCATTTTGAAGGATGTGTCAATGTTACCAGAAACCTGTAATCCTTAATTTCACATTCTAGGTAATAGATAACTGAACAATATCACATTAATAGCATTACAGCGGTTTTAGGTATAGCGCGTATAGCGTATTCTCTCGAACTTTATAGCATAGTTCCTTGTTTAACAGCACTCAGTTGATCTTTAACATCCTTAAATAAATAAACAATTAATAAGTTTAAATATTTAGTTTATTATTATTATATTAATATACAAATGGAAACGCAGGCCAATTAGTCTGAACTTGACAATTTGGATCCTGTGCTCCCCATATACCCTTAGATAGATTATAAGTGAGGGGTAAAGAGAGAGTCGGAAAAACAAGCGGACTGTGGGGGGTGCGACAGAGGGCGAGAGAGAGGACGCGAAAGAGAGGTGTATATGGCGGCGTGTCGCGAAAATTAATCCATTTGCTGTGACAATGACTTTTATGCGGTTTCCAGCAACGCGGCGCCGGCCACCGCCATCCGGAATCAGCGGCCTGGAAGCTACCACTGCCGGACAGTTGGCCAAGTCAAGCCGCAGGCCGAATGCGGGCCGGGGTGAGTGGGACCCCAAAAAGAAAAAAAAACTGCTGGCCGCTCCACAATGCTGCTGCGACATGTAAATATTTGGTGACATTTATAAAAAATGCTCTCGGACAGCCGCGAGCTTCCCATTTTGACCGAGCGCGAAGCCTTATCAAAGCAATTATCTCTAAGATGCCTCGTCGTCGAGTTTAACGCCCGTCTTCCTCTCCTGGCCCTAACGGCACAGTGGGCCTTAACCTTCTTGAATCAGGAGCTTTGGTTTTAAGAGAGAGCAAGTGGGTTAATATATTTCAATGTTTATAATAATTATAAAAATAATTTGAAATAGAAATCTTTAGGTTTTGGAAATCACTAAAAAAAGTATAAATGTCAAATAAGATACTAAACTCAAAATTATTTTGTGCTTAGTTTCTTAAGGAAATTTCTTAAACAGATTTAAAACCTTAGTGGGTTTTGTAACATCCCAATACATTCGCATATTTACCACTGTGCCTCGTTGACAATGAGAGAGACCGGCGTCTGCCAAAGCGACCCTTCTCCTTCCTAGTCCGGTCCGCTTCCATTGTTTGATTTGGAACAGTAACAGAGACAAAGTACATAACATTTTTCTTGATTTTCCCTATCTCTTTTCCAGCCACCATTTTTGCGGCGGATTTAGCAAATGCCGAAAATTGTCAAATGTTGCGGTCAATTTGTGAGGTCAAAACGAAGTGAAGCGAAACGAGGTGATTTGATGGGTGGATAAGAATAGCTATCTTTTTTTTATATTTTTTTTTTTTATATAATTGTATAAGCTCTAGACTGCATTTTGGAATTAATCTAGGTGATAAGCGAGCTAAACAAAATAAAATTTATAGAACAATTAGAAGATGAGATAACTGAAAAGTCCTTTGACTTGAATGTTTAAATAAATGTATTCCTCAAAATAAATAAATGTATAGTTTAATGTTTTATGTGAATTCATACTTATCAAGTTTATTGGCAGACTTAGGATTAATACAAGATCTTTCGGACTTTATTTACATTGTACCTGGTTCTTTTGGTGGCTGGATCAACCGAAAATATTCTGCTTGATGGCAGCCCAAATACCCTTTCCCCGCTTCGGGGTCAGATCGTTCTCAATTTCCTTGTTGTACTGCTCACGGAGCAGAGGGTCTGTGGGCCCCCAGTTTTTCTTGGGAGTAAAAGCGCCTCGAATTTTCTGGCCCAGAGACTGACCTGGGTCCCGGATAATGGCCACAATCATCCAAATCGGCAATTGCAGTATGCCAAACGCAGTGATCGTCCAGCCAATACCTGTAAGGGAGCACCATCAGCTTGTATTATTTTGGAAATTCTTCTAAACTCACCATACGCCCAATTGGGGTAGACAATGTTGTTGTAGGTCAGAGGCTCGTAAGTCGCATAGAAGTATATCAGAATAACGGTCATGATCAGCGGCGTGATTATGCTCCAGCACAGTCTCCAGTAGAGGCCGACCTTGCGGCCCAGCATGAACTCGATGTCCTTGCACAGGCGATCTGTGCCGTAGATCCATCCAAGCGTGTACAGTTCGGCAATGCCCAGAACCAATGCTATCATCGATGCACCAAAAAAGTCCACCAAGGTCAGCATGTATTGGCCGCCCTTAAAGAAAAGGAATCAAAAAAGAAACTTATTATAGGGAGTCTTGAAAAGGTCTAGGAAAACGGAAGAATTATATCGTTAAATATACCTTGAATCCTTCAAATTGTATTCGTAATATCTTACCGGCGTAATGTACATTAGTCCAATCACAAAGCTGACGACCGCAATCAGCAGTGAGCACTGCCACTGCTTGAAGTTGGGGAATCGATCCCGGATAGCGGTCACCGAGCAAGAGGTCATGGCTATATTCGATCCGATGCCCAACACAAAGAGCATAAGGAAGAACAACACCGAAAAGATCTGGGGCAGCTGCTTGAACTTGGCGATGGCATCGGGATACGAGATGAAGGCCAGTCCGGCGCCGCCCTTCACCACGCTGCCGATGTCGTCGGTGCCGATTTCGTGGGCCAGGTGGCCGAGGATTCCGAATATCGTAAACCCAGCAAGCAGGGAGGTCATCGTGTCCAGGGCCGTCACGATCGAAGCATCACGGTGCACATTGTGACCGAACTTGTTGAAGGAGGAGTACATGATGATGTTGCCGAAGCAGACGGACAGCGAGTAGAAGCACTGGGTCACAGCAGCGTACCAGACCTTCGGATCCAGGATCTTGCCCCACTGCGGCTTGATGAAGTAGTAGATGCCGTCCAGGGAACCCGGCAGGGTCACGGCTCGCACTAAAAGGACGCCCATAATCACGTATGGGAAAATGGCGAGGAAGTATGAGGCCTTTCCCGAACTCTTGACCCCACGCCGAATGATCAGGAAAACGCAGGCCCAGGCGACAAAGAGTCCGATGACTAGCTCCCAGTTGGGCAGACCGATGCCATCCTCGATGTTGGGGGTCTCGTGCAATACCTCCTTGCTAGAACGATTGAACAGTACCAAATTAGCAGACTTAAAGCCAGGTTCAAGCCACCACCAATAAAAATGAGTTAGGTAAAACCATCACCGATTTCATCATCATGCGGCTGTGACACCTTCCCATAAATTTCCTGCCTGAAAGGAGCTCTTAATTTTGAAACTCTCGGAAGTAAACTTAAGCTCAAGAGAACATTTTAAAACCAAAACTGAAAAATCTGCATACATTTAGCGTCACACCCGCACAATTCCAGAAACTTAGCACTTACACAAAGTACCACTCCGAACTGGTGATCAGCCGATCGTTTTGTGATTTTACTGAGGAATTTTGCGGACGCTGATTTTCGCTTTCCACTTGAGACCAATTGGTTGCATCGGGGGCTGAGTTTATGCAGTTGCTACCCCATTCCTCCCGGCATGCGGCCCAGGGTAGGGGGTTTTGGAATGACTCAAAGAAATATCGACCAATAATCGCTACCAGGGCGGCGTAGTAAGTGTTGAGCATAAACACCTGGAAGGCCTGACCGGCTCCAACACCTTTTAATTTCATTAAAGTTAGGTAAATAGTTAGGTAAATAATAGGTTAACACAAATTAAATGAGAAAGCGTAATGAGTTGTGGGTTGATTAGGATAATAATAAAGATTCTTGGTAGATACAAAGTAAATATGTTAGTGGGGTGATGAATAAAATTGAACTAACGTTTTGTAGTAGTTGGTGAAGATCGGGAAGCAATTAAACATGCGATTAAGTCACTGGATGAAACAATTTGATGAAATAACATTAAACTTTAAAATTTATGAAACTCTTTTGCATGTTGCGAATGGGAGAATAGAATCAATCCCTCCTTGAGAGCGAAATGCAGATGGGGTACGGATTTAAAGTGCACGGTTTGTAAAGACTGTACTAGTATGTTATTTTTTTGGAATCACATTTATTGCCAAGTGATTTCAGGTTTAAGTTGAAGGTTTTACATTGTTGTGATTGAGTGATTCCATCTGCGGCAATGGAAACTCCTCGGCAATTGACTGCCCATACTGACAATTGAATGGAACCGAACTCGGCTCTGTTTGGCTGTTGCAATCGCATCGGTCTATTGCAGTGCCACACAATTGATGGCAATATAGGCGCCATAATTGCCGGGAGAGGGATGCGGGTGCTCATTCAATTAGTAGAGCAATAAAGCGGACGTTCTTTGTTGTACTGGCCATAAACTTGAGTTCGCGCCGGGATTGTGCGATAAGATTACCCACTGTGCATACACACACCACCCACACACATGCACAAAATACCGAAAAAAACCGAAAACACCGAAAACATGCCGCTGCAACACCACTATAACCCACAATGACACAGGTCCCGGTCCAACCACAGGGAGGGAGGACGGGTACGGGTACAAGCCACTTACAGAAAATACAACTCGGCGGAGGCCACCGGCTTCTGCTCGGCCAGCCTCTCCATATCCACGGGGCTGGCCAACAGGGAGGTGTTGCCCAGGCTGGAGGCCACGCAGTGGGACTGCCACTCCGGCCGGCACTCGGACCAGGGCAGCGGCGAGCGGAACGACTCGAACAGGTAGCGCAGGGTTATGCCCATTATGGCCACATAGTAGGTGGTCACCATGGATATAGATATCACCTGGCCGATTCCGACGCCTACAGATGCGGTTGCGTTCATGGGATATACGTATGAGACACGCAGGTCGGTTGATGAACAGAATGACGATGTACTTTCTGCCGTTCGCTGTTGCCATGCTCTTGGCTGAATGGGATAATACGGTTTTATTGGGCCCCTAACTGATCGCTTTCAACGTTCTATCTTTACAGTGGCATGCACATTGCATAAACTGATTTTTGGGGAATTGTTAAGAGCCGAGTTTCTGTTTTTTTTGCTCATCAAAAATATATTAACACATTTAATTTGGATAAATTCAAAGGACAGTTATTACTTAAGTAGTCACTTTAAATATAATATTTTATATATAATATTTTATTCAGTCCTTCACACTTTAAAAGAGCATGGCAACCGAGAACCTAGTGCAGTGTTCTTGCAACCACTTACCTTTCATGGCAGGACACAAATCGAACACCTTTACCGAGCCGCGGCTGGAGAACTGGCCAATTACCATTTCCAGATAGTAAATCGGTTTGCCAATCAGGAACAGCACAATGAGATATGGAATGAGAAAGGCGCCGCCGCCATTGTCGAGGGCGGTGAAAGGGAAGCGCCACACGTTACCCAGGCCCACGGACATGGCAATGCAGGACATCAGGAACTCCACGCCCTTGCCCCAGGTGGCCCGTTCCTCTGGCAATTTGCTTGACTCCAGATCGTCGATATTATCCCGTGGTGCTGCAGTATTGCTGGCCTACGGAACGATGATTAGTTGACTCATGGATTATTTGCCGCATTCTCGTACCGAAATGTCCATTGTGCTGGCGGTGCTGCGTCCATCGTCGCCCACAAAGGCTGGATTTCGATGATTCCTGTGGGATGCGTCCATTATGGCCTGGAAAATGTCAGCAAAGCGTTCTATTACCGAGGAATTGTGGAGCAGAACTAATAGACACTTTTTGGCAGTGCTTTGTTGAAGCTGTATAACTGACAATCAGAGACGTCCAACGGATCTTGAAGATAAGAAATGATGTCACTATCACGAGCCAGATAAGCCAAAGTGGCTAGACTGATCTAGAGAGAGATGGATGCCCTTTAAATACTCAAATTATGGTAATTATGTCAGGCGTCATGTTTTTATAATTATTCACTTCAAAAAGGCGTCAAAATATGGGAATATTTTGGGCCAAAAATGTATATACAAAATGTAAAACTGCTTGATAATCTTCAATAATATTTAAGTCTTTTAATGAGCTGAATAAGTTTTCATACTGTCTTTTTACTTTTGTAAAATTCTTTGTTTTGTAATTAAAATAATAACATACAAAAATGTACGATATTTTATAGCCAAAACTCTTTCCATAAACAGATTGCAATCGAAAACACACGTGTTGTTGGTTTTCTAAGATAAGGTTGCATCTTAAATGACTATGACACAATGCCAATAAATGATATAATAAACTTATTAACAGTTTACACTTTTATAATATCAGGAAAATCAGGGAAGTCTAGTTTTTTTTTATTAAATTAGAGATAAAGATGTTTAAGCACTTAACACATTGTTGGTTTTATTTATTTAGCTCAGTTGTTAATTTCTGTGGGCGATAAAACAGTTTAGCCGTGAATGTGTTAAATAACTTAATATTTACTCTATGCATGTTTACATTTTTCTTGGTAAGTCATATACGAACGTATGTCGGAGTTGTGGGAACCGGTTGGTATAAGCGCAAAATATTGACACGTCTCGTTTGGATTAATTTAGAATTATTAATTGAAGGGGAGGAGCACGTTTCTCAATTGCAATGTTATTGTCAATTCAATTTCAATTAATTGCCTATACCAAAACCATGATTCATAATATTCAAAATAATTCGAAATGTGCACTCTTTCGACGTAAAGAATTTATTGATAATTTCTGTGAAAATAAGTTGAGAGAAAACATATTTTAAAGCAACAACTCTGATGTGTTACTGATTTTAAAAATAGCTTCTTCTGTAAAACTGAAGGCCCTTAGAAACCGAGAGTATGAACTGCCTTCTACCGACGACTGGGTTTCCAATTGTCTCAAGCTTGAAACAAAAAAGTGAATCCCCCATCCATCACTGTGATTACAAACAAGATGGGATTACCTGAAATAAGTAGGTATACAAGTGGCTCGGATCCGTAATGAAATATTTGCATTCAGTTTTTTTTTGTTTCTCTTATTAGCAAACTGGTTTTCAGATCTAGTAAGAAATTCTGGGTTCTTTTGAGCAGACGTTGAAACAAACAAATGATTTCCCCATAAGATGACTCACAAATAAAATTATATTCCCCCGGCTATTTTTCAGTTCTTCTAGTGGAATAAAGAGAATGTCGTTAGTGACGTCAGGAATACCAGTCAGCCGAGATGAGTTTTAAGCAGTTTCAACTAGTTTTCATTTGGGTTTTGAAGATTTTGAGATAAATCAAATATAATTAAAAGATTGGCTTAGTCCGGCTTATACTTTAATTTTTATATTTCAATTACTTAGTGGATAGAGTAATCATTAAGTCTAACCACAGTCTGCAAATAAGTTATAAATAAATAAACCTATTCAAATTTACTTCGTTCGAACAACAAACACTTCAGTTTACTACCGTCAGGGCATTAGCATGCAAAAACGTGTTTTCATATGGCCAACTTGTTGCGCTCGCTGCCAAAACAAATAGACGGTAACGATCGTGGACAAATCACGAATATGTCCATATATATGGTATGCATCAAAGTTTATTAGTTTGATGCCCACGTTGCGTATACGTCATTAAGCGTTAGGGGGGAAAGGTCAACTTGTCGAGTTTCCCATACTATATTTCGATGATTTAACCAATGAATGGGATCATTGCGTTTACATGCATATAAATAATTTAACTTCCGCAGAAAAAATGTATTTCGTTTTTTAAACCATTTGTTTTTAATACCACTAATTACAATTACTTTATTTTGACTTTAATGTGTCTCCCTGCAAATGTCTAATCAGCATCAGAGATCGAGTGGCTTCGTTTCTGTATAAATGCCTTTAACAATACCGTTTACCTAACAAAGGAAATATCGCATTCAAAAGTTTTTAAAGTGATTGCCAAGTACTTGATTATGAGAAAATATTAATTTAAAGAGTATTTGATGACTCTGTCATTTATTGGCCTTCGGTTAACATTCCGGCTTAAGATAAATTTGAAACTGAGTTGTTCATTAAGGCTTTGACTTGAATACTTTGACTTGAATAAAAAAAAGCATGGCCATGATTTATATAAATAAAACACAAGAACTTAAGCTATAGCTTTGGGAAGCCAAAGTTTTTAATTTGTTATTAATTAACCAAGATAAAACAAATAAAATAAATGAATGAACTATTTTAAGATGAAAAGGAAATCCATATCCTTGGACAGCTTTAGTAGAGCTTTACCTTCTGTTGTTCTATCAAGTTATAAGGGTCAATTCCGCAGGATCTATTCAGACCGTTTTTTGCACACCTTCCCTTCGGTTCACTTCACTTCGCGGCAATTGAGTTTGTGGCGATTTGTAGACTTTTGTTTTGTTTTGGTCGACGATGCAGGTAGGTTATGGTAAGGTAACATGCGGCTAAAACTGCTTTGAACCGGCTGTAAGCGTAGTTTTTCAATTAAAACTCTACGCCCAGACAAGGCTGCGTATTTTCAAATGCTAATGTTTTGATATTATTGTTGGGGTAACCCGACGACTTGACTGTTGCGCATCTGCACACGCGATTTTGGTAAAGTTTCCGAACCGAAATAAGCCGAGAGCCTCCAAGAAACCCGTTATTATTGCATTAGGCTTTTGGCAACTGGTCGCTGAGCGCGCGTTTACCGAGCTCACGTGAGCCAAAAAGTTGAAAGAAATAAATCCAAAACGAGACCTAAAAGCCAAGAAACCAAGCAGCCAAAACGCCAAAAAGCCAGGCCGAGTGACAGTAGCCAACTGAATGAGCCAGGGCAAGGTTTCGATGGTTTTATTGTGAACTTGACTCTAGAGCCGTCGGCGTTTGCAGCCATATAACCATATAGCTGGCTGGCTATATAGGTGAAAGCTCGGCCTGCTGTTTGACAGCCATTGGGTTGTGTTATACGCTAACGATCTTCTTAGCAGCTAGTCAAAGTCTCAGCTAAATGATCGAAAATGTCGTAGGTTTATGCATTGGCTTTAACCAAATGAAAATATATTTTCATCTCAAAATCGGGTTAGAGTAGAGTCAGTTGCTCTCCTCCTATAGGTTAATAGTTAAATTTTCTTAAAGTACCATTGTCCAAAGCCTGAGCTAGCCGCCTTGGGTTTTCTTGGAGCTCCAGGCTATGCACTTACACTTTTCTCATTACACCCAGACTCACATAAACACGGAGCCATTGTTCTTATTCGGGCAGTAGGAGCAAAGGCAGCTCAGCAGCTAAGCAAAACAACACAAATTGTTATGATAAAAGTTTTTATCAAGTTTTCGTTTCGTTTTTGTGTGTCGTCATCGTCTTGGTCTACGTCTAGCTCTCTCGTTGATTTTCTCCATAAGATAAGGGAAGACCAGGCAAGTGCGATGGAAGGGTAAGTTCTCCATTGGCTGCACTAGGAAAAATATTATAAAAATGTATGATATATAAAATATATTATAGATCAAGGCTGCAAGTTTTACATAATCAGTATCCAATACTGATCTACTTCAGCTTAAACCACATTCAATTTCTTACATAATCAAATTATATTATTTTTCAAAGTGCATCTAGAAAATGCATAAAATAAAGCCCCCGGGGTATTTGGTCCAGCAAAGGTGGTGTGGGGTGGTTTGTCTCATAAAATGTTAACTACTTGCAAAAATACTGCTAACTGGTAAAACTTTAAGCCAAAAATCATTAAGTCTGCACAGAGAATTTCACCGAGGCCGGAAGGAAGCGAAGGAGTGAGACGCAGGCCAAGGGATCGGAGGAAAGAAGTTTGCTTGTTTTATGCTACAAAATTGGTTGCATGGCCATTTTGTGGCTCATACCGAGTCTCACTGTGGGACTTTCCACACGCCCTTTTCTGATGCAACGTCCACTGTTCTCGTGTTGGTCTCGGTTTTGCCATTATGACTGGGGCCTTGGGGGTGACAAAACTGAGCCATATCCAAACTGGTCAGTCCGCAGAGCTCATTCGATGGTGCGTTGCTATGTGTAAGCACATTTCTCTGCATCTTCCCCAACCTCTCACTCTCTCTCTCTCTCTCTGGTGCACAACTTTTTAATTGCAATTAAAAACTAAGCAAAAGTCTTGGCTAAGAAAATGCTCAATCTCTGGCTTAGATGTTGTGGTTCCTTCAAAATTAAAAGAAGGGAGCTGGAGCGGAGACTGTGAGCGAAACCCATATAGTTGGAAATTTGTATTTTAACAATATTTTAAATATTCAAAGGCTAGACTAGGGATTTCAGGTGTTCCTGAACTAGTCCGCAGTTCCTGTCCCAATTTTTCGACTTCCTTTTTCCGCCAGAAGCTGCAGTGGCCAGAGAACCATCAAAGGCTCCTTTGACTTTTGCGGCAAGGCCAGTAATCATTTCGGTCCCGCCAAATGTCTCTATCCGCTCGCCTCTGGCTACTCACATGTTATGTGGAAGGTAATCTCCTTTATTACTGCGGCAACTTTGACGGAGGAGCTGCGGCGAGTTCCTGAGCATAAAACGGGATTTCCAGAGGCTAGTTGGGACTCGGGTCCGTGGGCGTTTACAGCTTTTGCATTACAAACTGTGAGCATTAGCCAAATTTTTATTTGTTGTGTTAGAGAGCCATAAAAAAAGTTTCCCGCAAATTACACATCGGTCTAATCTCATAAATGTTCCAGGCTGAGCACTAATTGAATACGACACTCATTAGGTGCAATAGCTTCTTTAAACAAAAACTAACACATCAAGAGGAGAAGTAAAAGAAGGCGATCTTTCATTTATTATTAAATTTAAATTCAAAAATACAGAAGATTATTTCCTTTCACGAATATAAGCAACATTCTGTAATAATAAATTATGCATTTCTACTCGCATCATTAGTCAGTCACTTGCAACTGTTTGGCCGCAAATCGGAGAAGCCAGAAGCTCTCAAAGAAACAGTAGAAGTGGAGTAGCTCCTGCCACTGAAAGGGGCAACTAAAAAGCCGCCATTTTTCTGGCTTGTTTGACAATTGTTGCGGTCGGAGCATGGAACATGGAGCTCGGAACATGGCCGCCATTCATCGTCCGTTCGTGCGGAGCAGCAGCCGGATGCAGCAGCAGATGTTGAACGTGACCATGACAACGATTCCACTTCATACACTGCAGCGTTTCAGAAATTTTGAAAGGGTTCTTTGGGTCCTCGAAAATGAATTTTTTATATTTTAAAATCGAATATAAAATAATAAACTTTTTAAGATATTATTTCTATTTATATGACGACTTTGAATTGTAATTTAATTATTATATTTACTTATTATTTTCTCTCAGTGCCTTATTGGATTCGCAACGGGATCCTGACCAGCGTCCCCGACCACTAATGCCGTGCTAGTTGTTATAGCTGTTGTTCGACTCAAAGAGGCATGCAATGCAAGTTGTTATAGTTAGCTGACTCTTGTGGTGCGTGCAGCTCGCAACTTTTCCGCCGCGTGTCAGATGAGCTCAGGACTCCCAAGAAGGGCGACTTTTCATCACAAAAATCGCTGTATACACACCTTAAATTTGCTTATCTGAGGGCGGGGCAACCCCCAAAAGTTGAAAGGATTCCCTCAGACAAAGCAATCGTTTTTTTTTTTGTTGGAGCAGAGCCCTTTTTAAGTTTCATTTTCATTTAATTGTTTTCGGCACGTTGAGTGTGAAAATTGAAATGTGTCTGAAGGCGTTGGAGCTGTCAAGGGTTAAGGCGCGAGGTAGAATCCGAGCTCGCTTCGGTGCATCGCCAGACGACGACTTTTGTCTTCTACAGCCTTTGATGGGGCTCGCCTAATTAGCATCGGGCCAAGGCAAATTGCTTGTTAATTAAATAACGTCAAAACATGAAAAGGATTTCACCTTTTTTTCCTTTCTCTCCCGAAAAACGGTTCAAGTGGCATCGAACCCATTGACAGGCACTCAAGGTTTCAAATGGAAAGGAAAAATTGTCAAATGTTATTATATTATTTTTAAATTGACTGAACTTTATTTTCACTTATTTTCATTTATTTTTAGTACGGAATTTACCTTCTAAAAATATATTGAAGAGAATTTGAGAAATTCAGCAGCCAAAATTAAAGACAACACGGAATCCGCGGACTGTTAAGAGAATAATTGTTGAACGCCAAGCACAAGGAAAGAAAAAAATATCTAAATAAAAACAGTATTTAGCCAGCTAAAAAAGGATCTCGTGAACTTCTCAAATGAAAATACTATAAACTTGGAGAATGCCAAAGGCTCTGTATGCTATTTTCATGTCTAAGGATTAAAAAAAAAATGTAATATTAAATGCATAAAATCTTAAAGGTCCGTGCTTTTTAATTAAGCAACGAAATCCGTAAAATTTGTTCCTCTCCTACTTGTATCAAGTCTTAATTTTTTCCAGCAATAATCTTCATTGAAGAACGCACTAAGAACCCTGCACTTGAAGCATACTTTCCCCAAGTCCGAGTTGAGGAAACCTCTCCCACGAATATACCAACTGAAGAAGTTCCCAATGGCGTCTGCCCCTCTGTCCCAAAGCCAATAAACTGCATAACCCGACTGTAAACTGCTTTCGATTGCGCCATGGAGTGGCTCAGTGTTTTGCCCGGACTGTGAGGGCAATTTTATGTCAGCTGCAGTGCAATATGCAAAAGGAGGCGGTGGCCCCGAATTTCGGATTTCCAAAGCGTCCATTGTCGCGGGTCATTAGGGACACGCGATGCCTGCAACTAGTGCGAGGAAATCGTAAAATCGAAACCATAAAGAGTGCGGGCCCAGAGGAAGAGGTCCGGAGTCGAGCCAACTGCGAAATTTAAGCCACAATTGATGGGCAGGAAAATGTTTAGGAATGGCGGATGGTAGAGCAGGCCAATCGTTGGCCAAACATTGCATTCGTAATTTTTGAATGGCATGAAACTATAAACAATTATGAGGAAAATGACCAAATTTAAAGTAAATTTGATTATTTTTATGATTTAATTTTTTAACATATTTTAAATCTCTTTCTTTGATAATTCTACTAATTGCTCTTTGAAGCTGCAAACTAAGATTTTTCAAAGGGAGATTAGAGTAAACAAGTGCACAAATTAGCATTTTAAATTAAACCTAATAATGTTTATTAAGCGTATTTTGATAGATTTGGGGCACTTCTTACAGAAGCATGTTGTTGCAACGCACACCCGCTATCATGGGGCGCTCCTTGGGTCCGGCGATGTACTTTTCCCACACTTGGACAAACTCGCTTTGCTTTTGAGAGTACATCGCCGCCTGCTTGCAGAGCTCCTTGCTAAAGTTGTTATCCGAGCAGAAAACGGGCCCTCCGATGTGGATGTGGCTATTTGTGATATAGATATTCTGGATCTGCTGGGTTGAGCTGGACAAAACTGGACAGGACTTTGGTTTCCCATAAAGAGGCTGCGCCGATTCAGCTAAGAAGCCCGTTCCCTGCCTAACCATCATCGATTCTTCGGAATGCTCCAAAGTCTGCTCCAAGTTCTCATCCGCGGATTGAACACTTTCCTGGCTACTGGAACTTTTGATCACCCTTAGCTCGTGCAGTAACTCGCTCATCTCCAAACAGTGAGTTTGGAGAACGCTTAGCTGCTCTTTCATAGCTGCATTCTCTTCCACCATCACTTGAGTTTGTTGAGAAGGATGAAGTTTCTGCTCTACGGCAGAATCATCCGCGTGGTCAGACTTCATCGTTTTGCGGCCCTTTATGTAATCCTTGGCCTTTCTCTCGGCCAATTGAAAAAGCTTGGACAGACCAAAGGTTAGTATGAGTATTACCCAGAAGCTTTTTGCAAATTCAAAGGAATCGCTAAAAGAACTTGGAACTGAGGGCTTGTGGCTTACGTCTGGCTCAAATGTAATCTTGGGTAGTTCTGAAAATAATAACGACAATAGAAAACTACTGTTTAGCTTTGTGACAATTGATTGATCAGTTCGTTTTATAATACAAATAATTAAAGAACGTCTATTAGTATCATCCAACTTACCTGTGTAGAGTTCTACGCGATAATCTTTGGCAGCGCGTTTCTGGATCTCAACCGCATGCTGCAGACAAAGCACAGCCCAGGATGAAAGGGCCATTGCAAAAAGGAACAGAAAACTAATGTTTTCAAACATGTTTTCCCAAAAATTTTATTGGTCTTTACTATAACGTGTGCCGAGTCGTTTGGAGAATGTGGAAACGAATAACAAGTTCAAGAGAATGTTGAAGTTAAACATCTAAGCTGCTCTGATTGTTTGAAAATAGAATGATTTTGGGAAACCTGAATTGACAGAATAATTAATTTGAATTATTTTTACGATTTTAAAAGTGTCAAAAAGAAGGCACCCGATGAAGTTAAATTAGACTACCGAATGCAGAGTTATTTGGTCAATCTTCATTCATTCGAAATTCATAATAAAGAAAAATAAAGCAGTTGTATTTTTATAAATCATTTGAGGTAAACCAAGTCCACTACTACTGCTCCCTGAAAACCAACTACCGGCAGAGACTGATCCCAGTTTCCTTGGCTTGACTGCGTGATTACGTATTTCAAGTTTACCGAGTGTATTGTGAGATGCCTGGGCTGCCTCATATTTCCTCACCTTTCTGCTGGGCCAGCATCTGTCGCTGTCGTTGCCATGAGCGCCCTGATGATGCTATTGCTGTTTGTGTGTGAAGCAGCAGGTGCATGGATCTAAACGTTGCCCCGTTCAGTTTCCTAATGCGAGTATGAATGTGTGGGCGAGTGTGCATGAAACTCAATTCAAAAATACTTAACAAACATTTATTTGAATTTTTACCATTCCGTCCCTTTTCATTCTTCGCAGCTTCAAATGCGTTGCTCTCGCAGTTGTTGTAATAAAAATGCAAATAACTCGAACTCGAATGGGTTTGGTTGGTCGTATGCAAAGTGCCAAAAGCTAGAAAAATCCCTCCCCCGTTCCGAGTGCGCCTGCGCTCCTGCGTATTTTCAGTTTCGTTCACGAACATGAACATAATTTTAATGCCAATTCAATTTAATGGTTCATTTCATATGAAAATTGTAAAAAGTCATTGCTGCTCTGGCCGAAAAAATGACTGAGGAAACCCGTTCAGAGCTCCTTCGAATATTTTGTAGCTGTTGTTGCCTGGCACTCTGGCATTTGTCATGCGTGATTTTTAGGTTGGTAGCTCAGGGAGCAAAAAGCAAGGGCTTCGGGACGTAGTTTTCACAATTGTGTTGATGCAGCTGCGGGCAACAAAGCAATTTTGCCATATATGTACTTGATTTTATTTATTTTATTTTCAAATATATATTCTTTGTGCCTTTGCTGGGACGGAAAGTATGCAATATTAAATGTACTGTGGAAAAATCTTAACTAAACATATTTTATCTTAAAGGAAATTTTAAGAAATATTGCTATTAAATCCTAAACCATCCAGTGTCTCGGAAAGATCATGGTTCCCCTTTCCCCATCACGTATAAAATATGCAAAATTGTATTTGCATTTTGATTTCACCAAGCCATACATACTATACGTGACACGTTCCTTCATCAATCTATTATAGATAAGGATATTTATGATTGAAAAGAAAACCCACTTCCATCATTCTTTTCCAGTTGCAGTTTTCAATTTCTTTTTAACACTTGTTTGACTTCAATTTCAAATAATATACAATTATCCTAAAGGCGCTGTCAGTTCCAACAGTTATTACAATTGTTGGAGAGGATTCGCTTATAATAGTGTTATTGAGGCTTATAATTCATAATTATAAAATATTTATAAAATAATACTTAACTAAAAACCCAAAAAATCTAATAACATGTCAACACTTGAAGGCATCACTTAATTTTCTTTGAGTGACTCCGGAAACGCTAAGCAAAGGACATTCTTGGGTTGAGTTTTTCAATTTGATGCAGCCAAACAAACGACTTTCACAAGTAGACGGGGCATACACGCATATTTTCGTAAACTTTTCTTTTTTTACGATATGGTTCAGAGTGTCCTGGTTTCAGGAAGCCAGAATCGTTGCAGGCATTGCAGGGTTTTCTTAGCAATTTGCGTGCCGCATTCTTTTTGCTTTTTTGATGCAAAGCTGAGAGGTAAAAACTGGGATTTCAAAAACCTGGACCTCAAAAAATATTGAGGTTGTGTCTACGTATCAGGTACTAGATTAGCTAGTCATTGAAATTTGGCTAGTAAAAATAATACCACCTTTATTCTAATTTTTAGTTGAATTCCCTTGAAATGAATTTTTATTTTATTCCCAAATTCTGCTGCCTTCATCCAACTCTTTGGACCAGAAACACATTGCTCCGCTACTCCATTGCGGCCTTAAAACTTTAAATGGCTCTAAGTAGGAAATGCCTGGGAAATATGCGCCAAGCTAATGGATTTTTTTTCTTTGGGTTTTTCTTTTTTTTGGTGGAGGTCGGATTGGGAGCTCGTTGTTGGACTAATGGAAGCGTCGACGACGACCTTAAAAATGTAAATAAACGTTTCTCTCGTTTTGTTGTTCACGGGTTGGCTACCTTGCGCTTAACCCCTTGAAGCATCCAGCACACACATACACTTATTCAGATACCCCGGGGCCGCGGGCAGAGGGTCCTGTTTGGCCGCTTTTAATGCCGCGTAAATTTTGCAGGATAATCCAATAAAGAGATTTTCGTTGTGGCTGTTGCCGTGGGGTGCACACAAAAAAACGTTAAAGAACAAAACAAAAACCCAGACATTTTCAATGCGACACCAAGAGCTTTAAAAAACGATGCGTCTGTGTGAGTGAAAACAATTGTTGTGACCCTCGGCGGCGGAATGCATAAATTCTATATGTGAATGAATCACAGCTTCGTTTTGGTTTTAATTTACCTCCCAGACATTGACCTGATTACAAATTTCATAAATTTCTCTTCTATTCATTTAACTAGGTTAAAAATGGCCAATTAAAGGATACATTTTATTTTAAAAACATCATTTTTCTAAGCCTTATTGGCTTATAACATTCATGTTTATCATACTATTGTACTAGAATTTATTTATGAAATAAAGTCTTTAATCAATTACTATAAATGCACACTACAGAATAATTCAATTTGTTTGAAAAGGCCCGCAAGTGGACTTCACTTCCACTCAAAATCCTCAATGGCACAGAACTGCTTTAAAATCAACACGAGTGGATTTTTTAAAACATTCACCAATGAACACACTCCACAAATATATACATACGAGTAATAAAAAGAGCATGAAATAACAAAAACAGCCGTTCACACACACACACAAATTGTTTTCAACAACAAAAACCCACTGGAGCGTGAGTACGTCAATATTCATATTACTCATACGCACAGTTGAGCAAACAACCAACTACGCTCAGCGCAAGACAAAGAGATGCCAAGGTTGCTATATTATTTTTTTTTTTGTTCTCACAGTTTCATTATAGAAGCTAATTTATTGGAAAAAATTTTAAATCAATTTGTAGAAGAGGCGACAAAGAAAAATCAACAGGAAAATGCAAATTTGAAGTTTGTTTGGAATTTCTAGTATGCTACATCATTCAAATTTTATAAATAAACTAATTTTAGTTACATTCTAATAATTGCATGTATGTGTACCTTGAAAATGTCGCCGGTCACTTCTAAATAAAGTCAAACGCCATGGACGAAATTGCTACTGGTTTTCCCATTTCATTTCTGGTTAAAGTCTTACATTTGCCAGTTACCAAGGCAAAACAAATAGCAAGCGGAGCGTGTTGCGCAAAATTCCTTGCCTTACTCCAAGGGGAAAGCGAAAGAAATCAATAAATTTCAAAGGAAATAATTAAGCAAGTAATTGACTTGGATTTCTTTTAGGAATTCCTCCATAAATCTCCACCAGCTAAGCTAGCACACAGTATACCGATCCTGAATGCGAGAAGGGTGGCATCCTCGTCGTCATCTCCTCCTTGTTAGTTATATGGTGTTTGGGAAAGCAGGCCAAGAAGGATTTCCAGATTAAGCATGTGTTGGGATTGAAGCTGCGTTTCAAAAATGTAAGCAAGTGTGTGAAAAATTGTCTTTGAATTGATAGAATTTTAGTTATATGAGCTTACTTAATTTATTTATAGGTATAAGTGTTTGTATATTTAATACATAATATATACAAAATTCTTAAAATTGTAAAATACTTTTTTACCATCATGGGATCAGGGTTTGGTGTTAAAATACAATATCGCAATTACTAAACTCATAAATAACCCAATTTCCTTACCCATCTTAACCCAAATTAAATATATAATAAGACAAGAGAGTTATCCTTCAGTTTTTCCTTTCATGATCCGCACTGTACTTACCCCAATGTGTGGGTTCGTATGTAACAAAATGCAATCGCATCTTGGGTGTGCGGCGGAAATAAGGACGGCAGCATCTATTTTACAATTTCAACACGAGTGGAATGCGCCACACTTACACTTGCTGCTGCTGGCATTCCTTGCTCCAGCTCCGAGGATACGGGATACATATGGGCGGGGAACTTTAGATATAAATAGACGGAGCCAGATCCAATGCCAAAGTCGTCTGCCGAAATTAAAGCCAAAGGCATCTGGGCAAATATGTTTGCCTGGTCAAAGCCGAAAGCCATGGAATATTTGCTCACTTTTGTCAGCCGGCGTGCGGGAGTCACAGCTCCGGACAAGTGTTGATTGCTTGGTCAGAAAGAATTTCCGTTTAACTCCCTAAAAAGATTTCACATTCTCAAATCGAGTGTGCTTTGTTTACGGCAATTAAGCCTTTTATAATATCATTTAGATATGGTTAGATTTACAAGCACTTTAAGCCAGTATTTTTATTTTAATTCTTAAAATTATTGAAGCGTCACAGTTATTGGATTTGTTAATTGTAAATTTAATTGAGCTCACACGATTTTCCGTGGACCGTGGCCAACCCTCATCAGATACCCTCGCCCTCGCCATTTCTGTCAAATTGTAATTTATACTGGAGAGAGCACAGACAGCGACAGCGACAACGACAACGCTGGCGACTGGAGCTTAACTTTTACAATGCATCAATAAATTACATTATCCTTAATTTCCCGCGTTTTTCCGGTCAACACAGCACAAGCGACACTTAACCCGCCCGCAGCTCTGTCCATTGCCGCCCGCTGAGCCAGCAATACGCAACTATCACGGCGTGGCGTGGGTTAAGGCTGCGGGGGTTAACTACTTATATGTATAACCAAGAGGAGGCGGAGAAGAAGCGTTCAAGAAAAGTGCAATAATTGTGGAAAGTAAGTTGCGTTAAAGCAGATG